CTGTCTAACCCACGTTGAGGGCGACTGTCATTATTTGAAGAGACAACTATGATCCAAACAAGGCACGTGCAGTTGTACAACATTTTGTTATTATTTTTAGCAGTTTATCGCACACACACACATACATTCCTCACTCTCTCTCTCTTTCTCTCTCTGTCTCTCAGGCATACACACATTACTCGTACTTCAGAGTTCGGCTGGCTTAAATAGCCAACGGCTCTTGTGCAGGTAATTGAGCTTTAACATGCTCAAAGCTTATTAATACATGTAAAAGGGTCTTTATGTATGTGTGTGTGTGCGTGAGTGTGCGTGCGTGTGTATCTGTATGAAGTTTATGAAGCTTTGTTTTGTTTTGGCCAGCGTTTATTTGTGTTCAATGCTGTCGCTGCTCTTCTGCCCAGTTGAGTTTTATTTATGTGACATAATTATCCCAGTAGACGTAGGGACGTAGGCTGACAGCGTAAATCCATCCGATAATCGTTCCCATGAAACGGCCAGCTTATACACACATATATGTATAACAGTCTCCATTATATTTATGGCAAAATATTTGGGTTAAGAACAAGCGATAGCCTACTTTTGGTCGTAAATGTAATGAATAGCCATTATATGTGTTATACTACAATGTATTATGCTTAAATCTGTTATATAATTTGTCAATTTTGTTTTATAAATATCTGTTATATATATTATTCTATTATATACTACTGACTTAAAGTATTTTCGTTTAACTTATACTTAGTTATACACTATTCTGTTATATGCTTTTCTGTTATATATTAAAGTGTTACATAAACATGTCTTCATTTACTAATTTGAAATTTATACATTATTTACTGTTATATGTTATACTGTTATATATTATTCGATTATGCTATTATATCGCTCTGCTTAGCTTATATATAGTATTCGCTTATATATTGTTCAGCTATATATATTCCTGTTGATGTGTTATACCATTTGTATTCATATTTCATATCTACTTTAGACTGTTATATTATATTATTTTGTTATATATTATTCTCTTTTCTATATTAACATCTCATATGTATTTGCTATATTTGTATATACCAACTATACTGTTATATACTATTCTGTTATACACATCTTTCGTGTAATTTTGTTATATATATTATATATATCTTATAATTCTCATTCGTAATGACTTGTGTTGTTTGGCTTATGGAAATCTCTCAGATCTTTAAGATTTATTGACATCAAGCGGAAATGGGCACACATACAGACACACGCGCTAACACACACACACACACGCCCCACAAATCATTTATGCGAACACACAAGCTTACTCGTGTACAGGTAGATGGATGTATGGCTGGGCTCTGCCTTTTTTTTACGCGCAATTAACCCAGTTACAAGTTCGACATGCCGCAAAGCAAACTCAGCGACTCACTCACACACACACACACACCTACACACACACACACACACATCCTGCATTTATCATAATTACTTCCCTGAATATTTGTGCACAGCCCTGCCAAAAAATAATGCTAAAAAAGTTGATGAAGGCCCACGCTCACACACACCTGCCCACACACACACCTCCTCAAAAAGGCGACAATTTAAATGTAAAAAAAAGAGTGAGAGGAAAGCTCGCGCTGACTGCTTAATGTTTTAATATGCCTTCAGCAACTATTAAGAGGATTTCGCATTAAGTGCCAGGCACATATCAAGACATCAATTATTTATAAATAAAAGCGCAGCCCACTTACGCACAAAGCATTTTATAGCATACTTCTGAGGGCCAAGGCACAAAGCCAAAACCACAACAGCAACAACAACAATATAATTGCGCTTGCAAATTGTCAACAAAAACAACAACTGAGATAAGACGAGAGAGAAAATAAATAAATAAAGCTACGACAGATAAAACTAGCCAAACAAACAAACAAAGAACATGGCGACAGACAGATGCAAATGCAAATCCAGAAGCTAGGTCACAAAATATGAAAATTACGAAATTTAGATGCGCTTTAAAATTTAGCAGATGGAGTTGCTAAACAGAGATATCAGTTATGTTCCATGTGTTGGATAGCTAAGATCTTTATTGAGTAACCCAGTGAAGACTTTGGAGAAGTGGAAATTTTATGTTTCATATAATAATTAATACATAAAATACATATATCATATATGATATATAAATGTAACTTGAACATTGCCTAAAAGACTTTTTTATATATAAAAAACTTGATAATTTTATAATGGTTATAAATAATTATAATGACTTGAAAAATAGAAGAGAACTTTTGCTTTCAATATATTATTTTTTCTTGATATAGACACAACTTTTTGTATATTAAAAATTGCTCGATTTTATAAGTACATAAATGTTGTTCATAGAAGAAATTTTATTAATTAATTAATTAAATTAATTCTGAATGACTAACCCGCTTCTACAGATAAATATACTTTATAAATATATAAAAATTAGGAAAGGCAAAGATGTTTAAGAATATAGAAAAGACAGTAAATACACCTACTAGATTGTCATGCATAAATACCATCGCTGGCTCTAGCACAACTAGTACTCAAAGTGCATATACCCCTTCGTAAGAGCATACAGATTTGAAGTAAAGAAATATGCATAAATATGAGAGTTATGTGCGCTTCTAAATATGTATGCATGTTAGTTGGTATTTGTATTTGAACAACAGTTACTTTTCAAATCAAACAAAACCAGGAGGCCATTGACAATGCCAACGTAGGCGAGCACAGTGGAGCCAGCGATTGATTGACGAGACTTTGGGGCAACTTAAACAATTTGCTCAAATGATTAATTGACTATCGGCAGTCAGGTCGTTATTATGTGCGCTTATCGATTGCTAATCGATAATTGTATATTAATTGAATTCGTCTGTTTTTGCGACACTGTGCGAGTGCCAAGAGGAACGAATTCCAAAAAAAGACGGAGAACAAAAATGTCACATTGCGCACATGAAAAATGTCCTTGGGACAGCGCCAAACGCCAGTCAGCGGTGAGTGTGTGTGAGTGACTGTGTGAGTGAGAGTGTGAGTGACTGTGTGTGTGTGCGTGTGCTCATTGTTGTTGGCTTTGCAAAGCAAGGTCATGAGTAAATACGCTGGAGCCTGCTGCTGTTTATTCTACAACAAAGCCCGGCCAAGCACAAGTAAAAAGGGACACACGCTCGCAATTTATTGTCGAATATATGTATTTATAAGGGTATCTAGTTGATGTTTCTTATTGATACAAATGCACATATGAATTTATAAAATATGCACACACACACGTACTCAGAGCGACATATGGAGCGTTTGCTTGCCAATTTGCTGTGGAAATACATTTGCAAATGCAAATGTATGTCCGTTTATCAAAAGGCACATTATTGAGTGCTTGTTAGAGCTGAGCACGAACAGCTGATATATATATATATATATATATATATATATATAAATATAAATTTCTATGTTTATGCATAAAGCTCTTGGCTTTAAATATAATTATCCAGAGTGTGAACCACTTTATAATGTGAAACTTCTACAATTTTGCCTTAATTGAGCATAATTTGATTAGCAAATTATTTTTGTTTTAGTTCAGACTTAGTGCAGCATATTGTTAATGCTTTTATGAGGTAATAAATTAAAACTAATATGAAATAATTTTAAAAATTAAATAGCTTTGGTAGTGAAATATATAAGTAATGACTTGTATTAAATTTATTATTTATGTTTTAGATATGAATTAGGAAATATTTTACTTGTTTTTATATTTTAAATTGAAAGCTTTTAGCTGAAAATTAAAATAAAGAGCAAATATGTAAAAAATTTAGTTTACCTATTTACGGTTTATTTTTAATGTAAATAAATTTCATATGATATTTAGAATGTTATTTTAAAATAGAAGTCTTAAAACATAAAAGAAATAAAACTATTTATCTGCATAACATTTTTAAATAATAACAAATTAAATTAAATGAAAATGTTTATTAATTTTATTTGAAGTTTGTATTTTTGTAAAATTTATATTTTTGATATTTTTATAATTTTATATTTTTTATATTTTGAAAAAATATAAATATACGAAAATTTCGTAATGTTTTTTTTTAATAATAATAAAATATTTTGAAATATTTTTACAATTTTATAGTTTTTATATTTTTGTAAAATATTAATATTATTAAATAATAAATCAGTTTGCATCTCTTTACAAATTTATATAAATTAATTTATAAATATATATAGGGTATTATCTGTCTGTCTGTTTTGAACATATATAATTTATAACTTTTAGTTAAGCTTACAAAAATCGTATGTAAAGCAATTTCATATTTTTAAATTTTAGCTAATAGCAAAAGTTTGCTTTGCGGTATAGCTATAATATGGCACGCGCTTATCCTATTTGCATGAGCTTACACAGCACAAGCTATATACCCTGTAATTCACATTTAACATTTAAAAATAACTATGTAAGCACACACTGTAAGCGGATTTAGCACAATTTCCTCATGCGAATGCTGGACTAAGTGAGAGCCAAAGTGAACAGCGCAATTTTCGTCAACGAATTAATGAGCTTTCCTTTCCGCTCTCAAAATGGGGCTAAAAGTGTGTGTGTGGAGGGGAGGGAGGGAGTGGGAAGGGTAGCTTGTCCCAACTTTAGCATATGCACATGAATAATGCAGCCGGGTTTGTAGGTTCTGCTATTGATTTCGAAACAAAAATCGCATACGCGGCGTATGCGAGCAAACAAAGGAACGCAGCCAACAAATGGGCCATAGTTGTGCGAGTGTCTCTGGGTGTGTGTGTGAGTGTGTGTGAAAACATATGACTCTAGAGATTAAGCCATTGTTTGTAATGGGAGCCGCAGCTAGCGCGTGGCTGAGCTGCGGCTTAACGATTGCGAATGTAAACAAAAGTTGATGGGGAAACGAGTGCTAAGAGGGGCATAGTGGATAGCCTATTTTCAGTTGCTTAACTATGAACTAACCATGGGCGCACATACTCATATGCTATTCATATTGCAGCACCAGCACCCCAACAGTGTAATGCGACTTGGGGGTAGTGGTATACCATACGACGGTGACCCCCTGACAATGAGCGCAGCTGGCAATGACTATGCCGAATTATGCGATCTTGGACCATCACGTTGGAGTGCACGCGCCTATGGATATCATGCAACACAAGCAGCGAATGCATCCGGCCTTGGAATTGGCGGCATTGGTGTACCGGGCGCCACACAATCATCATCGAGCGTGCCGACTGGCGGCTCATCGGGCCTCAGCGCTCATCATCTGCGGAGCAGCGCAGCGCAGCCAAACAGTTACGAGGCGGAGGACATTGGTCTGGCCTTTGGCATGATCAGTCCGCCGCCAGGCAGCGCCGGACACGCGGCCCATTACGGCCCCGGCGCCGGCTCACGGGTGGGCAACAGCACCAGTTCGCTGCGTGCCGGAGGCGGCGGAGCCGGCAGTGGGGGTCGCTCCGGCCTCTACTATTCGCCGCCGGGCACATCCTATACGATCATTGAGCGTCCCCATTCGCCGCACTACTACTACAATTCGGCAGGTGTGCCGACCAAGGGCGGTTCGCTGCCAGGTCGCGGCTCAGCGTATCTCAGCTCCTCACCATCCAGTCACATGGCCGCCGGCACCGCCGGCACGCTGCCCACGTCGACAGCGGCGAGCGGCCGCCACTCGGCCTCGGCCATGGGCAATGGCAACAAGAAGCGGCCCATTTCGCCGGAGCAGGTGCTGCGCATGTTCGGTGCCACGCAGTCGTCTTCAGTTCCTACGAGTAGCTATCACTACAGCAACGGCGGCACCCGGGATCGGGATCGCACTGGGCGACGCAGCCCGGCCAGCAGTCCGCCCTCAACAACGCATCAGGTGAGTTGGCATCTGCAAATGCATTAGACACCATCTAAATGTTATTTTTACTGCTGACAGATCTATCGGGATCGCGAACGAGATCGAGATCGCAGTGTGCCCAACATACATGAACTTACGACGCGCACTGTTTCCATGTCGCGTGATCAGCAAGTCGATCACGGCTTCGGCATTTGCGTTAAAGGAGGCAAAGACTCAGGTAAGCTCGACTAGAACTTAAGAGCTGTAAGATCTAGAGTTCTTCTTCTTAATATACAAATCTCTATGAATGCAGAATTTCTGTGCCTAACTAAGCTTTAAGCATTCTATTCTTAATCTATCTACTGCAAGGCACATTTCAAAAGAAATATACAAAAGTAAAGGAAAACTTCTTGCTCTATGCCATGAACACTCACAGCTGCTTCCCATTCGCATACACACACACATATATACACATATATACACATATATACGTATGTATGTATCTTGGCAGAATGTTTATTTGTGGAGTAACTCCTTGACGTTTGCCATGTTACGCCCAGTCGATTCGAAGTTCAATTGCTTGTCTCTCACGTGTGCGACGATGTGTAGAACCTCAATTGGACTGGCTCTTTAGACCATTTCATGCAATTTAATTTTCAATTCGATTCCATTGTCTGTCGGTCTCTTGCACCTTTCTTTTTTCCTCTTTTTCGTGTACATTCGATTTAGTGTTATAAAACGGCAGCAGCTTTGACATTTCCAAGCGCATTTTGCACCTGGCTACCTCTCGCTGTCCATGACTCTGTCTCTGTCTCTGTCGCTATCTCTATGTCTATCTCTGTTTCAGTCTCTGTCTCCTGCCACGCGCTCCTCCATTCACTGTGGGGTTTTATTTATTTTTAGCTTACAACGTGCGACGGCTTTAAAATCGATAAAAAAAGAATCTATTTAAGTCGTGCGGCCGCGTATGCAGGAAGGTTCCATCTATCAATTCCACCTAAACGTGGAACTCGCGCAGTTTACTTTCCTTCAGCTCGCTTTTTCGGCACATATGGCTGCAATGCTCTTACCTACACAGAAACACACACTCGCGCTCATTCATGCTTAATGAAAAAGGCTTACAAAAAAAAAAAAAAACAAAGACATAAAAAGAAAGTTCAAATGTCCAAGGCGTAACTGTCCAGATACCCTATTTTCAGCCAGCTGCTGTTAAAATACAGATGAAAGCTCAGCTGTTTGGAAGTTTTCTTTTAGGCATCGATACTTTAAAGTGTATTTGATACTATTGTGTAGGATACAAATTGGAGATACAGCTTAGAGCTCTTGTGTATTCATATAGGTATATCGATCTTCATAAAATTGTTTACTTTAACTCTATAACACAAAGTATCGATTACTTACGCTTATTATTGTTGTTATAAATATAGCTGGAGAATTAGAATAACTGGATAAGCTATAGTGGAGTATGTACTATAGATTCTTTTTATACAAAGTTATCGATAACTTCTGCTAAAGATTAATTTTGAAAAGCTTAAAGCGCTGTTTGCAGTACTGAATCATATTAAGTTAATTGATAGTTATCGATAATTTCCAATATAATGCAAATATTCTATAGTATACCATCTATTTTTGTTTTAAGTTATCGATTGTCGATATTTATGGTTATCAAGAGCAGAATTGAACGTTATTAGAAAATGAATTGTATGAAGATATTTTTATGTTATCGATTACTTTTATGAATATCGAATTTAAGAGAGTTAGCTTGAAATTGATGATATACGTTCACATCAAGTTATCGATAACTATCGATATATTCGCCATTTAAATACATTCTCTCATCACATCAAGTTTAGTTTACACCAAATGACAGGAACTGCATAAAGTTATCGATTATTTGCGATAAACATTAGTTAAATGAGCTTAACTGGTAGTATAATTTGACATCAAGTTTAATTAACACAAGCTAATTGACAACAAATCGACTTTATAGTCTCCCTGATGTTTCCTTAATCATTTAGCACACATACGCCCCATTGCACCCTTTATTTGTGGCTTAACCAATTTTTAATGACTACAGGGTATATAAATTTGGCCTAACAGTGGGCGGCGCAGGGGCGTGTCACTGTGTGCTGTGTGTTGTGTGCCGTGTTGTGTCTTTTAATAAAAGTTTAATGCGCAGCGCTTACTAATTGATTTCTTTTCTCCCATGTTGCTTTTCGTTTTATCGACAGGCTTAGGTGTTTTCATCTCACGCATCGAGGAGAATTCGGTGGCGGAGCGCGCCGGCCTGCGGCCCGGTGATACAATCCTAGAGGTGAACGGCACGCCATTCACCTCAATCAATCACGAGGAGGCGCTTAAGGTGAGCTAACTGCCAATGATTCGCTACGAAACTATCTTTTGATACATTTCTCAGTAGTTTTAATATTTTTCTAAGCATATTTATACATATAGAGCAGAAAATCGATTAGAGCACATTACGAGCGAGTCAGCGGGAATTTACAGTAGACAACGACTAAATAAGAAATGCATAAAATTCTGCTTAAATTTCTTATGTAATGTAGTCTAAGCTAAGGAGTGAGCACTGTAGCGCACATATGTAAGATATGTAAGAGCTGCCAGAGTCTGTTAGAGAAGCTGAAAAACTGCAAGAGATTACATTTAAGCATGTCCTTCAGTCCTTGAGCTTAGACAACGACATCGAAAAATCTTTCTATTCAAAAGAGATAATTTAATTGTACACTTTATTGATTTTTAATGTGATTTTGTTCGATAGGCTGCTTGTTTGCCTGTTAATAGTTGCGATAAGGGCCAATGCAATCGAGTAGCTGTGCCTTTTATGTGCGCCACTTGGCAGAGTATCTAAATCGCAAAGCCAGCCCCAACACCCCCTTCGCACATAACCCACATAGGCAGCCAAGTTGGGGACAGCTGCGCTGCCTTCGCTGACAGCGAAAGTCAATTTATTGTGGAATATTTTATGTGACACGTTATGATAGTCAATATAATTCTTCATATACGAACAGTAGCTGCCGCTGCCGCTGCCGCCGTTGCTGCTGCTGTGTGCGTGTGGCCCCATCAAAGGACATTAGACTAGGGAACCGAGGGGAACTGACAGCCAGTTGAGCACATGTTGTGCCACTTCCCACGCTGCTTTCCAATTTCAACTTTATTTCAACGACAACAATTTGTTTGGCAATACATGTAAAAGAAATAGAACGGGTCTATTGCCGCTGCTGGCGGCCCTCTGCTGTGCTCGTTCTTTGCTCCGACCGATTTTGAGTAGTTTTTTCTTGACTATATCTTGCACTTAACATATAATGAAACATTTTGTATAAATAATACTGAACGTTGAACGAAATACATCATGAGTATATGAAATACACACACTAATACAAATATACACTGAGAAAAAATTGGCAATAGATTAGTCGCATTGTATTCACTTTATAAATTTACGTTTTTCAGTAGATTTTTCCTTCAATTTTTATCAGTTTCATTTTGTTAATTAATTTCATTTATAATTTAATTTCCTTAACTACGCTTCAGCTACACCTCAAGCACAATCGATTCGTATACTCTACTGCAGCTCAAAGTATTTTACTCTAATCTTGTACTTTTGAAGTATTTTATTTAGAATTTTTCCAAGTTTTTAATAATAGTTTTAATAAGCTAAAAAGTGTTTGAAATTTTATGTGAGATTTACTTAGAGAAATTTTCAAATTCGATTTTTTAAACGTTTTTTAAATATATTTTTTTTGAGATTTTTATAAAAAATCATTTATGTTTTAGATAAGCATAAGACTCTTGAGTTTCATTTGGAGAATGGCCTAAAAGTGTTAAATAAAAATATTTTTAAATATTTTAAGGGCAAGTTGCAACCTTTTGACAGCTTGCCAAACTCAAAATTTAGCAAAAATATCTTTTTGAACACATTTCCCAAACGGATCAGCAGAAGTTAAGCTTTAAGTGCTTGCCACAACATGTTGCACCACAAAAACTGTGTGTGGTTAATGTTTCGGGATTATTTGAAAACGAAATTCGAGGCTTGGACATTTGTGCCAAGCAATTAGCACAATTGCACGCAAATGAGTTTTTGGTCAGAGCAATTAAAATTCTGACAGCCGAATGTAGGAAATGCTGCAAATTTTGAAATGTGAAAATATGAAAATGTGGAAAATATGGAAAATATCTGACATACAGCAAAAACCACAATAAAAGCACAAACAACAGTCGAAAAGTGGATACGCCCACTTTTCTGGCATTATGTACGCCCAGTGGGCTGGATTTATGCTAATGCATTGCTTCGAAAATATATTTTAATTAATTAAAATTGTGTTTTACATTTAGTTTTTGGTTTTTGTTTTCTGTTTTCTGTTCTTCTTTTGTAAGTTTTTGCCACCCGTTTTTTGCTCTCTTTGCTTCCCCTATCGTTCGTTATTTTTGCTTGCATCTTTCGTCTTCCGTCTTCCGTCTTCCGTCTCTCTTTTGTGTCTCTTCTATTGCCACATTTTTTCTTAACGCAGAGATGTGTGCAGATATTGAAATCGTCACGTCAAATCAGTATGACGGTGCGAGCGCCGCCCACGCTGAACTCAACGGCGCCGCTGCACGGTTTTGGTCCACCCTCGCGGGATCCCATGTACGCATCGATGGCCCCCCTATTACCCCAAACGGCAGCCGCCCAGGCAGCAGCGGCAGGTGGAGCGGGTCTGCCGTTTCGTCAGACCTGCTCCTGGATGGATCGACACGGTCGTCCGGCCTCGCCGCCCATGGAGTATGGCGGCAGACGAAACGAACGAAGAGATCGGTGAGATACATAACATATATAACACATATATATAGAATATATAAAGTAATATTAGTTTATTTCCTAGTGTGCGTCGCGTGGAGCTGCTCATCGAGCCGGGCCAATCGCTGGGCCTGATGATACGCGGCGGCGTGGAGTACGGCCTGGGCATCTTTGTGACGGGCGTCGACAAGGATAGCGTTGCAGATCGAGCCGGTCTTATGATTGGTGACGAAATCTTGGAGGTCAATGATCAGTCGTTCCTCGATGTGACGCACGACGAGGCCGTTGGTCAGCTGAAATATCACAAGCGCATGTCGCTGGTGATACGTGACGTGGGCAAGGTGCCGCACTCCTGCACATCCATCGAAATGGAGCCCTGGGATGCGTACAGTCCAACGGGCACGAGGTGAGATGGGATGTGGGAGATGGGGAATGGGAGATGGGAGATGAGAGATGGGAGACGAGAGATGGGAGATGAGAGATGAGAGATGAGTGATGAGTGATGAGTGATGAGTGATGAGTGATGAGTGATGAGTGATGAGTGATGAGTGATGAGTGATGAGTGATGAGTGATGAGTGATGAGAGATGATTGATGAAGAGAGGATTTAATTCATCTGATCTGATTATTCATATATTATTTCCATCTCTTACAGAGCACGCCGAAAAGGTCAGATTGCGACCATGGTGGAGGAGAAGGCGCGCTCGCTGCTGCCACGACATCATTTTGCAAGTCTTTCATATTATATAGCCGAATATAGTGTGAAAGCAATGACCATAGATGCCTTTGTTGCCGTCTTATTAGAGATGTTAGATACGTACGAGAAGGTAAGTCGAACAACTGAACCTGCTTTTGGCCATTGGGCATAATCGACTCGATGATCTGCAGCACACGCTTGTGACGGAGATTCGAGAGCTCGTCTTTCCGGAGGATCGTACACGGTACGATGAGCTAGTGTATCGCCGGGAGCGCGATCCATATAGCGTGGATAGGCATAGGGTAAGAGTGGCTAATATCCATATATATTTATATAGAGCACATTTAATGCCCGTCTAATTGGTAAACCCCTTCCTGCAGCGTAAAGGAGACCCCGCACGTGATTTGCCGGTAAGCTTTTTAGAAGATTTATTCTACGACACTGACACCATATATAACTAGCTGCGCATGTTAAACTATTGTACGACAAAAATAATTTAACTACTCGCCTAGAAACTAGCAAAGCGAGGAGTCAACTTGATTGCTCTACTAAATAATAGACATATAACTAACTATATATCTGTGTATTCTCTACTGCGGAACTGTTCTATGTTTCTATGAAAACTTTAATTTTATTTACATCTTATTGTTGTTGTCGCTGTTGTCGTTGTTGTTGTTGTAATTTTTAGTTAAACTAATTTATATGAAAACTGAACTCTGAATGGAATAAACTATCGATTATAAGTACTCGATACACATGCAAATACACGACACTTGTCCAGACAAAGCAAAACTTGTAGTTTAATTACTCATCGTGTAGGAAACTTTAACAACTTTAACTTTTTTACAACTTTAACTGTTTTTTATTATTATTTATTTATTGTTTATGCTTAATAGTTGCTCTCTGTTTGCTGCATGCCTATCGATTTGAGAAAAGCTTACTTTGATTCGGCTTCTCGATTTTGTTTTTGAGCGAACAAATATCGAACCAAAACGAATGTCAATTTTTACTTTAAAAATGCAAAAAAGAAAACAAAAAACAAAATCAAAAAAAATATGAAAATACAATTACAAAAGAGTTAAACAATGCAGTTTTTGTAGTTGCACCAAATTCTTTTTTCTTCTAGGCCTAAGTAGCAGGCACAGTTGCTGTGCCTTGCGCTCCATTTATCGATAGCACAGTAAGATCGATAACAGACGCCGTTCCTTGGTTAGGCTTAGTTGACTAAGTAACATAATCAATTGTAAAATAATGAAATTTCGTAACATGTATTATCCAGATATAAGTAACTATATAGCACTTACTATATACTATATAATACCCAAACAGCAGTCACCGATAACTCACCCCAAACTCTGCTTAAAACATATCCAGGCACTTAACGGAACAAAGCTATATGTATATATACATATATTCAAGAAATGCACTGATCACCTTACTCTTTCTCTCTATCTCTCTCGCACGCTCAATGCGATTCTCTCTCTCTCTTACACACCCTTCACACACACTATCTGTGTAGCTGGCTCAATAAAACTATTCAAGGCCTAACCGTAGACCCTTTATATCATATTTCGCTCACTCTCTCGCTCTATCTCTTTGTCTCTCTGTCTGTCACACTGTCTCACTCTTTCACTCACGTTCTCTGACTCTGAATCGTATGCAACAACAACGTTCGTTCCATTCCATTCCCAACAGGTAACAGCTGACGATATGGAAGTAAGCGCCGCCACTGGACGCAGTCCCTCGTCGGACTCGGGGCTGGGCGGCATGACCGTAACGGATATACATAAACGGTACCTAAACACACTGAGCACCCACTACTAACAAAAACAAGAAATGACCTGTATTGAACTGTAACTGTTATTCCGTTAACCGTTCCGTTGATAGACCCGCACTGCAGTTACCCTATCGGCCCATGTCGGCGGGACCAGTATTGCATCGATCACAGCATTATCAGCCAGCCACAGCCACAGCCACATCACATGCAGCTAGCAACCAATCACCATCACCTACGCCACCTTCACTACAACAACAACAACAACAACATTATCCACATCATACCTCATTGCGTCATCTGGGCGGCGTTGGAAGTGCGCGTCATCATCAGCATCTTCTTCCCCATCAACAGCAACAGCAACAGCAGCAACAGCAACAGCAGCAGCAACATTTGGGACCAAATCAATTTAAAGTCAAGCAAGCCAAAGACAATCAGCAACAGGTCAGGAATTTGCGTCGCATTTATGGCACACTTATCTGATCTGTCCCACTGTCTCTCTGTTCTGGCTCTCTTACTGCTAAAGGCTTTCATAGTCCTCTCTCTATCCTTTCTCTCTCTCTCTCCTTTCTCTCTCTCTGCCAGCAACTAGCTAGTAGTTGTCATCAGAAATCGTTGGTTCTTTTAATTTCTGTTTTTTCGCCAAGTCTCCAACAATTTCTGATCACTTTCTCTGCTCAAATAATGAAGATTACAAATTTAATTGCATATTTAAGTGAAAAATTGACATTCGGAACTGAAATCGGCGCTAGTTGAGCCGTTCGTTATATTGTGTGTTGTCTGTTGTCTCGAGTTTGTTTATTCATTTTTACCAATTTTCATTTCTAATTTCGTCCAACTATTTATTAATGTCATTCGTGTATGTCTAATTGTCCAATTGTCTTTTGTTTCGACTACTTTCGTTAACTGTTGTCTAATTGGCTGCTAAGTGTAGTAGATTAATTGGCTATTAACTGTTAATCTAGCTAAGAAAATTTGTGTCAAAAATTGATTTTTCGCTTCTTCTTAGGAATACGGCTGTGATGAGCATAGAACTCGACGGGGCAGCGAGACCCTATTACCGGAATATGAGCAAGATGCGGTGAGTAAGATATGGAGCTTTACTCCGGTTGGTAAAGGGGCTCTCTCTGTCTCTCTCCCCCCTCTCTTTCTTGATATACATCTCTTTATGTTAAGTCTAGGGATTCAGCCTATCATTTCATTAAGCTCATTGTCATCTCTTTCAGCCTATGCCTATACCTCTTCAGATATACTTACCATCCAATAACTTTTCAGAGTTTCCCAGCAACACAAGAACACTTAAGCTTTGATTCTTTATTATTAACTAGTTTAAGTTATAACTAAAACACTAAACTTAAGCACTAGAGCCTTCAACTCTTGATGGATTATGTTTATATATATATAGTCTATATAGCATGTATGTCTACGTATAAGTAGTGTAATCAATACGCCAATGCAATCCAATTGAGCTCAAACAGACCGCAGAGCCCTCGCGTCCCTCTCCCTGCTACATTTTGTCGTGCGTGGCGCTGTCGTCCGCGGCGGACCAGGCGACGGCTCCACCCACTACAGGCAAATGATAATCGCGTGGCGGCGTAAAGGGGCGCACAAAGTGTCGCCACTGATGGTGGGCGTGGGCGTGGTGCGGATGATGTGCCTGATGATGAGGGGGCGGCGTCACAGCCGTCGCGGTTGCATGTTGGTGCTGCTGGTGGCAGCTATTGGGCTCGAATTTCGGGCGTGGTATGCGCAACTGTTTGATCTCGGTCAAATAGGTTTCCATGTTGCAGGCCACCGCAGTTTTGTTTGTCCGCCTGTTGATTTGTTGAGTTGTTTTAATGAATCGCTTGATTTGTAGCTCTTTCTACTGCTGTTGTTGTTTAACCAACTTGCAAATGTTATGGAGTGTGAAAACGAGTGTTGGTTGTCAACAATTTGCCAAAGCCAAACTTAAACAAACGACAAATCGTATGGCACTCGGTTAGTACATATGTTAAATGAAAGCGTTGTGTGTTTTTAGATAGAGAAAGATAGCTAGATGGAGAGATTGATCGATAGATAGATAGATTGATAGAGAGATAAATATAAAGATTGATATATTGACAAACTTATAGACAGATTGATAGATAGAAAGATAGATAGATAGATAGATAGATAGATATATATATATATAGATATACAAATACATGAATGTAAGTAAGTAGATACTTGAAGTGTGAAGGCTATGAAAATCAAAATAGGTATATTGATAGATTGACAGATAGATAAAAATAGCATATAAATAAGTAGATAGGATAACAGAGCTATTCGTGTAATAGGTTGATGGATATATATAGCATAGATAATTCATATAGAATTACGTATGTAGATAGAAAGGTAAATCGATTAGAAAGATCGAGGATACTCAGATCAAAAGTTCTATTCAAATATAAATTTCTATTGATTTATCTATATATAGATACAAGGTGGAATTTGAATAAGCATACAGATAAAGAGTTAAGCTGGTGAGAAGAGTATGAATAGTATAAGAGTATGCACAGGAATATAGATAAATAGATAGGTATATAGATATATAATAGAAATCTAAAATATTATTAGAAATATCTAGACAGATTAGTAGTTAGAGAGATAGATAGATTAACAAATTGGCAATAAATAAAGAGTTAGATGATGAGCAGCTGCTTAAATATCGATCGATGGTAATTGATCAATGTTAATATATGTATACATAGAGAAATACATAGATCGAGGGATAGTTCAATAACAAAATCCAACTAAATAAGACTTGAAGGCTATGAAAATCAAAATAGGTATATTGATAGATTGACAGATAGATAAAAATAGCATATAAATAAGTAGATAGGATAACAGAGCTATTCGTGTAATAGGTTGATGGATATATATAGCATAGATAATTCATATAGAATTACGTATGTAGATAGAAAGGTAAATCGATTAGAAAGATCGAGGATACTCAGATCAAAAGTTCTATTCAAATATAAATTTCTATTGATTTATCTATATATAGATACAAGGTGGAATTTGAATAAGCATACAGATAAAGAGTTAAGCTGGTGAGAAGAGTATGAATAGTATAAGAGTATGCACAGGAATATAGATAAATAGATAGGTATATAGATATATAATAGAAATCTAAAATATTATTAGAAATATCTAGACAGATTAGTAGTTAGAGAGATAGATAGATTAACAAATTGGCAATAAATAAAGAGTTAGATGATGAGCAGCTGCTTAAATATCGATCGATGGTAATTGATCAATGTTAATATATGTATACATAGAGAAATACATAGATCGAGGGATAGTTCAATAACAAAATCCAACTAAATAAGACTTTATATTTATCTTCTTTCTTTATCACATTTTGTCTTAGTTCAGCTGAGTTTTAGTAAACTTATTTTAGCACGTTTCTATGCACAAAGATCTTGAGATCTTAAAAAGTTGAAAGTAGATTTCTTAAGCTGTTCAATTCTAGAGTTTTTCACTCACATTAAACTGTAACGAGCGAAATTTTGCCAATTTCCAAAGCTTCGCTGACAGAAAATGAATGTAAACATTTACTTTTACTATAGATATATATATATATATATATATATATATATATATACGTTTTGCTTATATAGGATGCATTATTTAATGCTCAACCGGCTGCATTATAAACTTATTATGCCTTGAGCTTGGCAAGGAGTGCACGAAAAGTGAAAGTCAATTGGCTGCTTACAAAGCCAAAGAAAGAAACAAACAGCAGAAACAAGAAAAATATTTGCCTGTTGTTGCCAAAAGACACGAAAATTGCTATAATTTCCGGAAAAGGCGTTCGTCCAATTCCAAATCCAAATCCCAAGCTCCAATCCGAAACGCATCTCGACTGCAAGTTCAATGTGTGTTAAATGCTGTGGCCCTGTCAGCAGAGATTTGGCATGGAGCAAGAGAGAGAGAGAGAGAAAGGGAGAGCTGGAGCTAGAGTGAGAGGCCATGCTGTTTGCACAGCTGACACTTTTTCAAGAGATGGCGGCGGGGCGCGGCACGGCTGGCGGGCAGGGGGCAAGTTCGACTACTTCGACGGGTGACCAGCGACCGGCTGGAGCAGCGAGCAACCAGTTTGATTTCAGCTAAAACAGACAAACAACTTTTTGTTGTTGCCGTTTAGTGGATGTCTGGGCACTGCGACACTCACTTTTTGTTGAAATTACAACGGCAGCTAGTCCAGCTGGTGGCAGGAGGCAGCAGGCAGCAGGCAGCGGGCAGAAGCCAGGCGAAGACCAAAACTCAAAGTGGGTCATTAGAGAAACGTACTAAATAAGGTACAAAACTTTGTCAAGAGCAGGCCGTGCGAGCAGCATAAATGGAAAGTAAATAGTTGTTGTTGTTGTTGTTGTTGTTGCTATTTTTGTTGCTGCATTTACGAAAGCGGCAAACAAGCAACTCGAAAAATGTTGTTTATAATGTAAATAGACGTTAAATAAATCATTTTGATGCGTAGCAGCAGCAGCAGCAACAGCAGCAACAGCAACAACAGCAGCAAAACCAGCCAAAATCCGGTCCGGTCAATGGCTGTAAAGGCATAATCAACACACTTTAATAGACCCAGTTGCCAGCCTAGAAGAAGAAGAGCCGCAGCAGAACTTCAGCTGCTAATGAAGTCCAATTGTCAAAGTCTGACTTGGTTTTTCATTGGGTTTACAGTTACGTAGATTTTGACTCGACTCTTTTCCATTAGAAGTTCTCGCCGCTAAAGTTCAAATTCTTTGTTAGCTGTTTGTTTTGATCAGGCTTAATTATGTGATCGCTATTCACGTCTGGCTCGCAACGATTAGTGTTTGATTTAATTGGCTTTCAAACGTCTGGGAGTTAGAAACCGACAGTTGATTGAAGATAAGTTTGTGAGAAGTCAATTAAATGCCCTTTTGCCAACGACTTGGATCTAAGCCAAGTTGAAGATGTGTTATACTAGAACCAGTTATAGATGTGATGTATATTTAGGTCATATTGCTGCACAGATAAAGGATAAATGATCAAGTAAAGCAAGAGCAAGAGCTGTGAAAATATATATAGCTATAGATGTGTCATATAGATATGGATAGATACTATCAAACGTCTATATACGTTGCCGCAGAGAGTGTCTCTAAATATCGACTACTTAATGTGAATAAGAATCAATATGTTTTATAGTTCAAATCAGGCATAGAACGCACATTCCCTGCATGCCCTACTCGACCTTCAAATGTATAAATTTATATAGAAGTATGCATATCAGAACTGACTATAGATTTAGATATATCCCATACACATTGGCCAAGTTATCTGCAACATAACTTTATAAGTTCTTTAGAAATGGCATTTTCCTTGCTCTCAATTATAAATTCTAAAATAAATAAAAGAGAATCAATATACTTGAATGAGTCATAGAAACAATATATAAATATATAAATATATAAATATATAAATATATAAATATATAAATATATAAATATATAAAAATATAAATATATAAATATATAAATATATAAATATATAAATATATATGAATATAGATAGGTCACATATTGATAGATAGTTTCCAGAGAAACATCAACTGTTAACTGTATGCAAGAATCCTGATGATTTGTAGCTTAACTGAAAGACAGCATACATATACTCTATATATACTATTTGAGCTTTAAAGAGTAGCTAGGCCTACAAGAACTAGTCATAGATATAGTTACAATCAAAATCAACCAGAAAACTTCCTAATTTCCATAGATATCTCATATCTTGTCTAAATTGCAATAACTAGGGCTTACAACTTGACTAAGTCACAGCAAGCATCTGCCCATGCTAACTTAAAATGTAAATAAGAACAGCGAAAGCAGCTTCTTTATGCTGGCTATAATAAAATTAGGCCTAAGCTTCAACTGGCTGCCTCTGTAAAAACTAATGTGCAAAGCTTCTCTCTCTTCCTCCCACTCTCTCACTCTCTCTCTCTCTCAGTCAATCTGCTGACTTCCAACTTTGACCCACTTAAGTCAATAACACAAATATTTAATCATATTGCACAATAAGAGCTTTGGGGCGTTTTGGCTTTGACAGCAGCTTAGCGATCGGACAAGCTGTCAGGCTTATTACTTTAGTGGGTCAATGAGCGCGGAATAGTCTATGTATATGGCATTATGGACACTCATATTCATGGAGAGTGACACAATGGGCTGTTCGCATGATCTTCTGGCTGCGGCCAGAGGCACAATGGTGTGAATTGGACAGCGAATTGGCTGCTCACCTTTTGTTTACAAAAGATTAATAGACAGAGTAAGATGGCTAAGAAGGCAACTTGGCTGGTTCTATTGTGGCAAAAGTTGCGTCAAAACTTTCACAAGCAGCCAGAGAGAATTTTCCAAGAGCAGCAATAATGAAATTGACGTCCAATTGCCCAACCCATTTAACTGTTTGCCCGCTTTTCTGGCTCTCGGCTATAACTGAGAGTTTTTTCCCATTTTTTTCACATTTTTTATTTCAGTCAGCACTTTTTCGAAATCCGCTTAGGGCTCACAATTTAAAATCAATCAAATTTATGACTGTGCAAACTACGCAGCTCGTCGTTATGTGTAGTATATGATATATAGATATGTCTCTGTCTGTGTGTGTGTGTAGAGATTTGTAACCAAATCCAAGCGCAAGCAGCTTCACATCACATCAACGCATGCCATTGACCTCAATGGAGACTTGACGAGTTGCTCAACTGCCATTAGCTACACATTGAAATATATATTATATTACTATTTTATGCCTCTATATAGGTGTTTAAGTGTTGGACTTTAGTGGGTTATTGACTTTATGAGTGGGTGGTCTATGAAACTTGTCTCAAGGTCAAAAATGTGAAGACGGAACTGTGGCTTACAGCAACTGAAGCAGTTGAGTTTGTTGCCTTAACACTTTTGCAATTCTCAAATTCAAATAATGAAGCTAAATTTAAATTATTAAATGATTGACTAACTGCAGTGTTTAAGACAGTTGAATCTCAAAAAAAAGTAAAGCCAGTCAGCTGGGATTGTTGGCAGCGACTGCTGCTGGCCTAAGCCTAACTGCTTTCCCTTTAGCTAGCTTTTTCGACTGCCTTTTCTAGGTCGAGTTGTTTAGCGACTTGGCTCGTAGATCTGCACAGAATCTCGACTTCCGTCAGCGCGCACAGACACAGACCGAAAGCAACTTAATTGCAAAACCAGTCAGCACTAAAATCCAAAGAAACAAAACTTCAACTGAAGTCGGAGTTACGACTGTTCGCGGCTGAAGCCGCTGGCTGCAGGCAATTAAAAAACATCAGAAAAAAAGCGAACATAAACAAAAGAAATTAGCAGACATAAAAAACCGAGCAGAAGGTGAGAAATAGAAGTTAATTGAATGCAAATGCAAAAAAAAAAAAAATGAAGACGCCGAAGAAGCAGAGAAAAAAATCATTGCTTGAAGATCCGCAACTGCCTTTTGGGTTGTGACACATGTGTGGCAAAAAGGCTGGCGGCCAAATGTTGCAAAAAACACACACAATGATGATATAACAACAACCAAAACACCAACAACAACAACAAGCAGATATTGCCTGTGGCAATTGCCGCGCTCGGCCAGGCAACTTCTTACAATTGCTGTTGCTTATTGTTTATGCAACAATTTGTGGCAAACAGAGCGCGAAATGAGCGGCAACGACGGCAAATTTGTCAACCCGCAACAACTTGTTTAAGTTAGTTTCTATTTTTTGTACTTTTTTCTCTCTTTTAGTATTTACACGTAATTTGCAATTTATACGCACGTTTTGTGTAGCTCTGAAAATGCTGTGAACTCAGCCGTGGTAGCTGCTGCTGCTGCTGCTCCTCGCTCGCTGTCTCTATGACTCCGCTCGAGTTTGTCTGCCTTGTGTCTCGGTGTCTCTGTGGGCCGCCAACCTTACGCTTCGAGCAACGACGCGCAACTAAAAACTGAAAATGCAGACGCGGCCAAAACAGCAGCCGACAGCGCAGTCGACGACGACAGCGACGCTGTTTTTAAATATACTCTGCAGTGGGAGCATAAGAAGTTTGGTAGTCACTTAGCCTAAGACTTGGAGTTCGACTTGGTTTAAGTAATAGTTAAAGATAATTTGTAGCTGACTAAATGAAATTTTTGGGTAGCAGTGCTACAAGTATTTAAAGTATGCTTCTATACTTATAGATTCTGATTGAGCATCTCAAGTTTATCTTACCATTTTATGAAACTATTAGCTTTGTCACTCTATTGCCATGAAACTTTTTGCCAGCTGAAAGCTGGTTTTAGTTGTCTCCTGCCTAAGTCTTCCATTTGCTTCTACTTATTTACTCATTTACCATCAGAATCATGTCTGAAAGTTAGCTTTAATGCAATTTGTAGCTGAGTTCTCTAAGCAAAACAATCATTTAGTCATTTCAACAACAGGAATGCCACGAATCTTAGACTAATATTAAAGAACTTTTTGAGTAGCAATAACAGAGCGTGTTTCTTTTAGAGACTCACAATTTTGAGTTGCTAATGCTGATTTAATTAACAGCCCATTTAACAGCTGTTATTTGTTTCTTATGGAATCATTAATGACGTAGTATGTTTGATTGAACACAGTTTATTTTATTAATATTATAAATATTTTTCTTTACTTTGTAATACTTTAAACTTGTGTAATTCAAAATAAAACACTTTATAAACATGTGTATGGATACATAAAGCACATAGACATAGATACATGTGCATATATACATACAAAGGCATATATACATTTGCATACAACATATGCATCTAAATATTTATTTCTCTAATATGAAGCTTGAGTTACTTTCAGCATCAGAAAGTCTTTCACTGCTCACATTTGTATCAAGTTTTAAACTTATATTTATGGTATATTGTATATTAATTTTCAGCAGAGTATACAAATGTTGTCTCTCTCAACTTCACAAGTTTTTTAAGTCTTTTTGTAAATATATCTTTGTAGCTTACTTTGCGTGTGGCTTTCTTTAAGTCACTGCGACTGCCTGCGTTTCAGTTGCTTTTTTTATGGCTTGGTAATAAAAAAATGAAAAAAATTACACACAGAGTGAGGCAAAAGTAAAAAGCAACAACAGCAGCAGCAGCAGCAGCAACAACAATTATAAATGGTGCAGATTGTTGAAAAGATTGTCAATATTTATGGCTAAAAATTATTATAGATAAATAATACAAAAACACTTATAGATATATATATACGCAACTATATCATTTTTCGTACGTAAATATGCATAAGTTAGACAGATATATATATATCTCTATATGTAAGTTAGCTGTAAGTTGTTGTAAGCTTTACGCAATGGCCAGCAGCAACTGCAGCGGCAGCAGCAGGAGACAGCCGCATGTATCTATCAGATATTGTATCTGCAGCTGACACACTGCAGCTGCGACTGGCTCTAGCTCTTGCGGCTGTTTTGTTTTGCTCTTGCATGACGTAAACAGAAAATGTGTTCAATTGCCTTTTTTGTTGCTGCTGTTCGCTCGCTCGCTCGCAGTTGATGGTCAAAAGCCACGCTTGGCATTGAAAAGAGATGAGCCTCGTTAGCTGTTCATTTTCTCTTTTTCTTTTATTTTTTGGGTCTAATTGTTTACATTTTTACAGTTGTTCAATTTGTCTATATACATATATCTATATGTTTGTACATTTTCTCTCTCTTTTTTCTCTCTCGCTGCAAACTGATGCAACTCAAAAAAAAACAACACAGGAACAGGTAAGCGCTTGACGTTTGCTTTGCATTCGTTTCTTGTCGTCGTTTCTTACCATTTAAGCACTTTTTTCAAAACTATATTTTAAACACACACACATGGAAAACATCCATTAACACACACACACACACACAGCCACACACAGATATAAATAACTTCATTACCAACAAAATGCAATAAGGAAGCAGCCAATTTTTGCTGCACAATGCTAAAAACGTCTTTTTGCCCAAGCGTTGTAAATAAATTAAGCGCTATTATATTTTTACTAATACTACTCAACTACTACAACTATAAACAACTATATATACTCGTATACCATTTCCCACTGATTGTTGTTAATATCGGCCGCTGCAGTTGCAAATGAGCTGCGGAAATACGAATTGCCTCGAGCCATTTAATTGCTGACATAATCAAAGCTAATAATTAAATAGTCCACATTGGGCTAGTCAAATGTGGCCAACTGCAGTGGGAGCTTTGCAGCGTGCCCTTCAAAAGTATGCAACAGAAACTTAACAAACTGAAACTGAAGACAGCAACATGCTGCTTAGCAACAATTCATGCTTGGCAACATGCGGAGACAGCAACATTGCAGCCAGCCATAGAGCTTGTGTACAAAATGTAGCTAAGCCCAACAAACTAAGCAACATGCTGCTAAGCAACATTTCTTACTTAGCAACTTGCAGAGATAGCAACATTGTAGCCACACACAGAGTTTGTGAAGCGAAATGTAGCCAAAAATACAATTAGAACTTAGCAAAACAAGTAAATTGATTAGAAACCGTTGGTATATATATATATAAACTACATATTATATGAATAAAAATTCATCAACATTTTAGTAAATTAATAAATTAAAAATTCCAAAAATCATTTAATATAGTAAACATTTTAATAAACATTTAGTAAATCATCAAAGACTTCTTTACATTGAGGGTAGATATAGTTAATCGACACGTAAAACCCCTGATTAAATATATAAATATTTAACTAGCTAAAAGTGTATAAAAACGTAGCTTAACAATATATCAAAATCGTATAAATATTTCTATAACTATTTAGAGTGTATAACAGAGCGCAGTTGCAGGCTCTACAATTTCCCTCCCTTTCCAAAAAAATAAAAAAAAAACACATAAGACAGTAACCCCAGAACCCTATTCAATTTCAGTTACTTTTCCTTTTTATCACATTTCTCGTTTCTCATATCATTTTCTGTTTTCGCACTTTTCATATACATACATACATACATTCATACATATATATGTTTATCAGATATTCATTTTGTTTGCCTTTTTGTTTCGACTCCAATGAATATTATTTAATGTTTAATTTTTGTGTTTCTATTTGAGTTGTGTGAGCTCTTTCTCTCTCTCTTTCTTTCTTTCTGTTTGACACACTCTATCTCTATCTCACGCTCTCTCTCTCTATCTCTGTATCTTTCTCAACCTTTACCCGTTCTCCCCCCGAAATTGTTCTCGTTTGTTCATTTGTGTGCATTTCAGGGCGGCTACTTAGATGGACTACGTTCACATTTGGGTGGTTTAACACAACGTGTCAAATCATGGTATTGGGGACGACCTCTTGTAAGTGCCAATGTATTTTTCGTTTAACGCAAAACTAACAAAAACCAAAAACCAAAAACCATAAAAAAACTGTAATAAAACAAAAACCAATTCAAAATCAAAAATTCAAAGAATAATATACAAAGAAACAAAACCACAAGAACATCAATTGTGCCACAGTTCTATGCAATGAATGTTTAAAAGAATCTTTTTTGAATTTGCATCTCGTTGCATTCTCAGCGCATAAATCAAAACTTAAGCCTGATCTAGTGTTGTTGCCAAACTGTTATTTTATGCTCTGTCTCTTTCACTATCTCTCTCTCTCTCTCTCTCTATCTGTCTACTAAATAACTAACCAATTAACTAACTAACTAACTGTTTTTGTATGTGCCTTGCCAAGACTTAGCACAAAATGCGCGTGCAAATTAAAATAAAACTAAAAAAAAAGTAAAACTTAAACTAAAACTTAAACTCAATCAAATTTGCATTTCAATTTGTCTGTCACCCACACACTCACACACAGAACTTTTTATGTTACGTAATTGTAGGAAATTGTTTGCTTTAGTTCTCGAAACTCAAACACCTCTCTCTATCGTCACTCGTCTCTCGTCTCGTTTATTGTTTCAATTTCAACTAATTGCTTGCCCAGTCACACTTGGATTCATTTAGCTCAAGAAAACAAAGAAAAAAAACCTAAACGTAAATATTTTTCTTTCGCATATTTTTCATTTTCACGTTGCCGCACCCAAAAATTTTGTTACTAGCGAGTTTTTGTTTTTGTTTTTGTTTTTGTTACTGTTTTTAGTAATTGTCAATGTAAGTATGTTAATAAGCAAACAGCAGAAGCCGAAATACAAATGCTATAAACCAAATCTAAATAATTCAACACGTTCAACAACAAACTCAACGCAATTTAAAGCAACAAAAACGGTCAAATGCAAAAAGCCAAAAAACAAACCAGAGAAAAAGCTTGAAAAATACATTTGCACATTTACGCATGAGTCAACCTAATTTGTTAACACCCTTCAAGAAAAAACCCACCCAACCACCCAACCACCAAGGCATCGACACATGCAGAAAAAAAAAAAAATAAAAAAGAAAAAATTGATTTCTACTCCATCAACTTTTCATATTTTCTTTTGTAGTATTTTTATCCTGTAATTAGATTTTCAACTTTCCTTCATTCTTTTGTACATTTGCGTTTCTAGTCTATACCCTATACTTTTGTATTTACCTTAGCTGCTGCTGCCCTCACACACACCCACACACCCACCTACACACACACACACGTACGTTCTCTAGTTGTAGCTCTAACTCTTAGATAAATCACATTTGTAATAAAAAAAGTATGAAGTTCTTTGAAGTTTTAGTTAGCGCTTTTCTAACCAAAAATATATATACCCTATAAACAAATTTGAATTAAATTAGCCAATTAATTAGTCTTGTTGCAAATCTAGCCAAAACATCTAAGTGTCTTAGTTGCCAATTTTTGCCAATTTTGCCAATTTGCAAGCCGTTTTTTTCGTACACTCTATGAATATATATATATAAACACACTTTGTATGGCTTAAATATAAGCCAAGCTGGTAAACACACACACACACAGACACCTGCACTTGCATTTTCATAAATTGCACTCACACACACACACACACTAATAACACTTTAAGCTTATTCAAAGATGAAGATGAAGAAGAAGAAGCAAAGTTTTGTATTATACACACGCTGCGTGTATGTCTTAGCTGTTATCGATTAACCATTCGATAACTGTGTATTCTAGTGTTAACTAACTGTTCTTTAAGTTATATTGTTCTAGCCATGTATAATACACCTGGGCATAGCCCAAGTCTGCCTAACAGCTGAGCTATGCGAGGGGAAATATTATCAAATATCTGCACTAGAACTCATCGTTCTATATGCAATTGAGTGTGCGTTTATAAAATGAATATATATTTGTTGTAGACAAGAAAACTAGAGTCTAGTGCTTATGGGTAGAGCAAGTGCTTGGAGAAAATATCATAAATGCAATTAATTTCATGGAATTCCTTTCAGCTGCTTAAGTTGTTAACTGACTCATTTATAAAGCAGGAGCTTTAGCAGCTTGTAATTTCCATCTACTGAACTTTACTATTCACTAAATGCTTAAAGTCTATTCAAAGATATTCACTTCTGTCTACAGAAGACTTCCCTCTAGACTCACAGTTATAGTCACATCTGTCTTTATGACTTCAAGAAATATATACAGCGTAATTTCATAGCAAAATCTAAAGCAATCAAATTGTCAGCTCAACAGCTAAACATATCACTTTATGAAGTTAGTGAAGGATTCGCCCAGTTTCTATAAATAATTTGAATCTGAGTTTCTGTGCTAAGCAAAAGATACAACCCAGCCTAACTCAGTATATTCCTTAACAAAAGCCATAAATAGTAAGAAGTCTGCAATACAAACTCTCAAATGCAGCTGCTGCCACAACAGGCAAGTCAATTATACAGCAATCAAGTATTCAATCAGAGCCAATATTTCTAAATATTTTAACGATGCAGCAGACTCCGCTACGCTCACAATTATCCTGCACTGAGTGACTCAATTAAAGCCAGTCCAGCCGCATCTCAGCTCAGACTCCAATTGGTATTCAAATGAAATCCAAAAAAGACAGTCTTCACAGTATTTCAGCTCTCAATCGATTCACTCAAGCACGCAAATAAGCTTTTTGCATATGCTATTTCTATCAACTCCCCCACACCCCCAACCAAAGCCTCACACTCTTAGCTATATTATATATATATATATTTCTATATATATGAAACAACAATATTCAACTGTCATACTTTTTTCGAATACATTTGCAACTATTCTCAATGTTTGCCAGTCGAGAGACTCAAACAAGTCTACAGTAAAACAATAACACTTTACCGGACGTTAATGTTTACATATATAAGGTCTTGGACCATATCGATTTCTAGTACAAAATACCAACAATTTCTTATGCAAACATTTCTCTAATTTTCATTTTATATTCAACTTATTGTAAAAATACAAAAACAAAAAAAAAACAAATCAAAATTCTTTACAAACTTTGCGCACTCTGCATAATATTTGGCTAAAAAAACGTAACACAAAAAATGTGCAAAAAAAAAACTATTGAAAAAATCAAAACAAAAATTAGGAGTTGGCCACAAAACTCTCAAGAAGTTTCGATATGAAGGAAGAAGGCGGCACTTTGCTGGGCGATAAAGGTGTACGAAGGCATCAGGTGAGTGCGACAACCAGAAAATAAATACCAAACAAACCATAGAAATGACCAGTAAAATACCAACTAAATAAAATACTGAAAATACTAAAACTACGCAGAGAATGCCAAACAACAACAACAACAATAATTAAACAATAAATAAATTAGCAACTAAAGAATGTTTGCGGTTTGATTAAACAAAATTTTGCTCAATTTCAATTTTATGCTCTCTCTACCAATCAATCAGAAAATAATCTATAATTATTTAATATTTATTTGTTAAATCAAGTGAAACACATACAAATGCACACACGTTAAACTTGTTTTCGAAACCAATTAAAATTTCCATACACAATTTGGTCAGCAAACAAACAAAGAACAAAAAACATTTCATGCTCCATTGACACAACAGATTTACCCGATATATATATATTTTTAAGATAAAATGAGTATTTAATTTGGTTTTACACTGAAAACAATTAGCATATACTTATTATCAAATCGTTGTACAAAGTACAGAATACTTAGCTTTGCTTGCTCCACACACTAACTCAACCAGAACCTAATCTTTGATAAACACCCAACGATTTTTATATATATGCTCCATATCTTAATCAATCCCAAGCATTAGTGAATGTAGGCTATACCTGTACCTATATCTATATCTATATCTATATCAATATATCTTGCAGCTATTGAACAGCAAGTTATGCCATGCTTAAATCTATATTCAACTAAACTATGTACTCCTTATCTATATATATCCCATATCTGATGTGATCTGGATTTACTTTGATTGTTGCCCCTTTGCTTGACTCTCGTTTCATGTCTCTCTTAGTCCATGCAGCGTCTGTCAGCTGAGCAGAACGGTGGTTCAACGACTGAACAAAAACATGAACACAATCCAAACGTCGTACCTGATCATAGAGGCAACTTACACATTACAGTTAAGAAAACGAAACCAATTTTAGGTATTGCTATCGAAGGTGGTGCTAATACAAAGCATCCGCTTCCTAGGATAATCAATATCCATGTGAGTCAACAAACCTGAACTATATAGAGAAATTGTATAATTAATATTTGATATGCTTTTAGGAAAATGGTGCGGCATTTGAAGCGGGCGGCTTGGAAGTCGGGCAGCTGATACTGGAGGTAGACGGCACTAAGGTCGAGGGTCTACATCATCAGGTGAGTAGGAGAAGCAGAAGAAATATGTCCTATGTTCAGTAAAGTGAACTAGTTGGTTTAGGCCGTGAATGATACTCTACAGTAGCTCTTCTGTAGTTCAGTTCAGTTCACTTATTCATTGGTTCATTGAACCATTGAAGCTTCTTCAGCTAATTGAACCAAAATAGTTCCTAATTTGATAAGCAGTTATAATTTCCCATTATTAAATCAATTTGAACATTGCAGGAAGTTGCTCGACTGATAGCCGAATGCTTTGCAAATCGTGAAAAGGCTGAAATAACCTTCTTAGTTGTCGAAGCAAAGAAATCAAATTTGGAACCGAAGCCAACAGCGTTAATATTTTTAGAAGCCTAACATTTGCTTGCCCTGCCGGCTAGTGACCCATTGGAACGACAGAAGCTGGAGTTCCTTTATGAATGGGGCATCGATTTAACGGAGACGCCAAAACCAATGCCAACACCGATACCGCTGACAAAAGCTAAAAATCCACCGCCACTGCCTCATGAGCTACATTGCAACAGCAACAGCAACAACATCAGCAACAGCAGCTACACCAACAGCAACAGCAACAACTACGGCAGCAATACTGCGCTCAACAATCATCATCATCAACAACAACAACCACCATCACAGCAGCAGCAAAACTATCATCCCAACACGCCCACACACACGCCTACAACACAAGCTACAGCTGCAACCACAACAAAACAACAACAACAACAACAGAAACAGCAACACTTGAGCAACACAAATACACCAACGAAAGCATCGCGCGAGGCAACGCCCACACGTGAGCAACAGCAGCAGCAACAGCAGAAGCAGCAACAGCAGCATGCCACGCCCACCAGCGAGCAACAACATACACCAACACGCCAACAGCAACACCAACGGGATCCACATCATCGCGAACGACAGCAACAGTTGCGCGAACAGCGCGAGCAGCGTGAACGCGAATACCAACAGGATCACCAACAGCACTCACATGGACATGGCCACGGACACACATCACACTCACATCATCGTGATCAGCACGAGGAGCATTATCATTATCAGCAGCAGCAGTCATCAGCGCATTATCATTATCAACAGCAGCAGTCGCAGCACCAGCAGCAGCAACAACAACGCTACAACAGCAACAGCTACAAGAATCATAATAATTCCGTTTACCAGTGAAGAAAACAAGCTAAAATAAACTCAACAACAACAACAACTAAATTGGAACAATTTTGGAACATTCTTAAAAACAGCTTTTAACAGTTAACAGTTAAATTGTGCTAACAAATATCCCAAACGCTAATACCCGGCTATCTCTCTCTCGCTCTCTCTAACACGCACGCCTCTCTACACCAACTTAACGAAAAGAAATACCCAAAAAATGGGACATTTTTGGATATGCTGTTAACAAATCTGCAATTCAATGTTGTTGTATGAGCTCTCGTTAACAAATTTCCTAAATTTCTCGTTAACAACAATTTCCCATAACTTTTGTTTATGCTATCTACTTTCCCAGGGCTGCTCCGTGGGAGCAAAAAAAAAAATATAAAAAATTATTAATAATTTTATTGACTTCCGACCAAAAAACTCTTTTCAAATACATATCCAAGCTTAGTTTGAAAATTCAGTTAAAAATATTTATTTATATATATAATAAAATTTTAATTTCAATTTAAACCTTTTTGATTCATATATCAATAAAAAATATCCACACTGCCAAAAAAAGAAAATTATATAAAAAATATAAAAAAACCTGTGGAGCAGCTCTCCTCTCACGCTTTCCTCTGGCAAAATCTCTTACCCCATAGAGCTAGCGTTTTACCTAGTTAAAACCCGTAAAGTAGAGCCCGTAACAGAACTTAGGACTTCTAAAAATCTGAAAAAATCTTATCTAAAGCTGTAACTATGAAACAAGCTAATGTGTATTATGTATTAATGATATTATGATTATTAACGAGCAACTTAGTCTAAATGGTTAGTCGTTAAAACTTATTTAAACTAAATGGAACCATATTTAATTTCACAAAAAAAAAACAAAAAAAAACCAAAAGAAAATGCAAAAAAAATATATGAAATATCCACAAACCCAACCAAAAAAAAGAAGAAAAACAACAAAAATATGGCAAATATTAAATTAAATAAGATGAAGAAACCAGAGCTTAAAAAAGAGTTATAATTAAAATCCCTTAACCGTAAGAACACATTAATTACGCAAGAAGAAGCAGAGCAAACAGCCACAGAACATTGTAAAAAGCAACTGAACAAGGAGAAAGAAAAGAAAACAAGATCAGCTTTTGTTACACACATACACACACACCAATACACACACATGCATATTGCTTCACAATTTATGTAATTAACAGCTACAGCAACATCAACAACAACAACAAGTATAAAGCCCACCAAAGCAAATAATTTGTAAAAAATAATCGTAATACACACATACGCTCACACACACCAGCTCACTTACACACATGTGTACAAAATACCTAGTAATTGAATGAAAATATACCCAAGCAAGGCGATGTGTCGATAAAGCAGTATAGCAGAGCAGCACTGCAAGCAGTGCAGTGCGGCGCTCCACTCACCTACTACACCTAAATAAAATTTAACGAAACAAATACTTATCAGCAAAAGAAATAAAATACCAAAAAAGGCGCAAAATTTAAACTAACAAAGGCAAACAAAAACCGTTATTAGTACAATTTTAACTGCACACTGCACACTCTTTTTGAATGTTTGTTAAATGTTTTAGACGACAAGAACAACAGCTGCAAAATTGTATTCCTCTCACCAACAAATAACCACAAAACAAAAACGGTAAACGAATTATAAAATACTACTAAAAACCAAAAGAAAAAAGAAAAAGCTACGCTACTCTACCATTAAACAACTAGAAAACAATTTAATACCATTTACAAGCAGAATATGCAGTAGAGAAACAAACGAACGCTTAAAATTTGAGGTTGATTGGCATTAAGTAAAAGTTAAAACGATGTTAAAGGCCGACAGGGCGCGATAAAGAGCAAAAACTAAAAGAAACAACAAAAACAAAAGAAAAGAAAACTAACTACCCGAACGCACGACTCAAGAACTCTCTGTGCAAATACTATATAAATATATATAAATAAATTTATATATATTGATTGTAAAATATTAGCAACAACAAAACAAAAACTAAAACTAAAACTAAAGAAAAACCAACTTTTTATTAAGCAAAAACAAAATTAAGCAAAATTTTTCGCCAACCTTTTTCTCTCTCTCTTTCTCTTTACTCACATAATTTTTGGCAAACAAAAAACAAAAAAAAGCAAAAAGCAAAAATACTTTTCAAATTTTGTTCGTTGTGTGTGCATTGAAATCTGAATGTCGTTTGAGCAATTCGTGAAGAGCTCCTTCAGTTAGCTTTGTGTCTAGTTCTTATAAAGAGCATAAATATATATATGATTATGCCTTGGTTACTGCTATCCCTCTCTCTCTCTCTCTCTGACTCACACTATCTTTCTCTATGTTTAGTGAGCAGAAAATAGTAGAGAAGAAAGATGAAAAGAAATGTTAAATTATATCGTAATTGTACTTTTGTTGACTATTATGTAATAACGCTTTGCTGTACGTTAATCCTAGTTTTACTGAAATTATAAAAAGAAAACAAAAAGAAAAATCTAAAAAAAAACTAAAGAGTTAGCTATTGTTAGTAAACTATTATATAGAAATGATTCAAAATAAATTGTTCGTGTATAAAAAAATTATTAAAAAATTAACGATTTCTAAATTCGAAATTCCAAATTGTACTCAAAAAGAAAAAGAAAACTTTAAATTTGAATTGGTAAAAATGAAATTCAAAAAGAAAACTAAAAACTTGTTAACATTTTTTTGGCAACGTTTATGCGCGCGACGATATCGTGTATTCGCAGTTCGTTTGTAAATTTCAGCAGACGCTGACTAAAGAAAGGCTTACTTAAACCTAACTTAAAACCCAATTCACAGATATATATATATATATATATATACATACATATAAATACTCACATAACACGCATATAGAACATACTCGTATACTAACATACACACATATATATACATCTATATATGCATACATATGTATATCTAACGTAACGACAATGACAAGCAATTTGAAGCAAAGCCAACAACAATTTCAATTTCCGAAACATATGAAAAAAGCACACAGAGAACAATACGATATGAGATCGAGTTGAAGCAGCTACTATATATATACGCAAATATATATATATATAGCTAGTTGATACAGAAGCGCTTATGCTATGCTAAAGGGTAAAAGGCATTTAATCATAATTACAAAAAAAAAAAGAAAAGAAGAAAACAGCTTATAAATACCATAAAAAAAACAAACGAAAAACGAAATACCAATATCGTAAATAGCAATAGCGTATTCTAGTTGATATTAAATTTGTTGTATAAAAAGATTGAGCTAGACTTTTAAATAAATATATATAAATATAAAATAACAATTGCATAAAATATAAATATATATATATATATATTTATATATATATATATATATATTTATATATATATATATATATTTATATATATATATATATATATAAAGAAGTGAACAGCTGTAGATAAATGTGTACAAAAAACAATCTCTTCGATGTCTCTTCGAGCTCTAAACAGACAGAAGAGCAAGAAGAAGAAGAAGATGAAGCAGAAGACAAGAACAAAAAATGAACTATATATATTATACTATATGATTTGTAAGGATCTCGCCTTTATGTTCGTCTAATCAGTTATTATCATTCTATATCAACTACAAACAACAACAACAACAACTGTGCCACCTAGTACATAACAAGAAAACAGTTATATATCTGCAATATATATACATACATACACACATACAAGCATATATATATATAGAAATACTAAAGAAAAACAACAAAAACCAATGCTCACTTTTATATTTTTATCATACATACCCCAATATATATATATATATATATCTATATATCTATATATCACGAAAACCAGGCACCGTTTGCAACACCAAAGCAACTAAAACAAATAAAGGGAAATACAAAGGAAATTTGAGGGAAATTATAAAAGGAGATTGAAAGGGAAATACAAAAGAAATTATAAGGGAAATACAAAAGGAAATCTGAAGGGAAATTACAAAAGGAAATTTAGAGGGTAATGCAATAAAAATTAAAAGAGAAATTTAAATTGAAATAAAAAGAAACTCAATAAAGAGTTTAATTAAGCAGAGACATTTAATATTTTTAAATTGATAATGATGAAGAAAATGCACAAAAGGAAATAGGAAATTTTATTTTTGATTAAATACAACAGAAAATTCAAATTTAATTTCAAAGCAAACATAAAAGGAGTTTTGAAATATAATGTACAATTTTTTAAAAGGCAATTTTAAATGTGCCTATGCAGGAAATATAATAGGAAATTCTCACAATTATTAATAGCAGAAAACATAATTGCAATTTTTGAGCTTGTTTTGCAGGAAATATACAGTTTGCTTTTTGAAATTTAAGTTTTATTTTGTAGGAAATTTAAAAGGAAATGGTATATAAAATAAAATTTTGAATTTTAATATTGCAGAAAAAAATGGAACTATCAATATATAAAGGGAAATTAAAAACAAATTTTGCAGAAAATTTACAAGTATTTTCTTTTCTCTTTTAAATTTCCTTTTGTATTTCCCCATATATATATAAAAAGAAACTGGAAAAAAGAAAATTAAAATTCCATTAGGCAAAGCAAATTGCTAGCAGCTTTTCTTTATATATATTATATATATAGATATATATAGCTCTTTCCATGCGAGATACACTCTATAAGTTAGCTCAGTTATGTTTCTTCAGACACCAGTCATAAATCGAGCTGCATATACGGATATGAAAATAGTCTAAATAGTTATTTCAGTTGTGTACATTGTAAAGCGAAGGCGGCAACTTTTTGAGCAGTGCATAAAGTTAAACATTTAAACATTTATTGACAAACTATTAATAATATTATATATATATACAAATATATATATATATATATATATGATTGTATTTATCAAAATTAAAAGCAAAGTAAAACGCATTAGCATAGCAACAATTGACATTATTATATGTGCATATATATATATTCACACATATATATGTGTATGTATATCGCTGATTTATTATTATATTATTATTAATTAAATAATTGCAAAAACAAGAGTAAACAAATGATATTGTCCTTGGTATTTACATATACATAAAAGAAAAAAACAAAAAATGAAAACAAAAAAACCAAAAAAAGCAAAAAAAACAACAAACAAAATGAAAAAATAAAAACAAAACGTTTTTTTATAAACCACAAGCCAGTTTCTTGCAGTGTATGCCTCGGCAGTAATCGCAATTCGAACCGGTTAAGCAAGCTGCTTTGCATAGCTTTGATTAGTTTGTTTTAATTTCGTTTCGATTTAGTTGAGTTTTCAAGCTTTTACCGTGCGCAAGTTTCAGAGATGCCGCAGGCCAAGCACAAGCTAAGTCCACACGATCAACAGGTGTTGGACTCCATATTCAATCCTCTAGAGCTGAGTGGCATCGGGGCTCACAATGTGCAAATCGAAGCCGAGATGGAGCTGCTCGATGAGGAGCCCCAATCACCGTTGCTGCCGGCCTCTCGAGAGCTGGAGCTGGAGGCGGTGAGGCTGGCTGAGCGTGGGGAACTGGAGCAGGCGCTGCTGGCATTCGAGAAGGCCCTCTATTTGATGAAGCGCGCCTCAATACTGAACAATCGGGCGCAGGCCCTGCGTTTGGCCAAGCGAGATCAAGGTAAAGAGGAAGGGAGGGAAAAATATAAAATCTCCAATATATAATATGAAACTATAATGGAACTATCCTACATGAAATGGGACTAGTTAGTTAAGGTATTAGTATTGAAAACTTAGCGTATCTTATTATCACAATGTAAATTTAATTTAAATATTTAGATCTGACTTATCCGAGACTCGAACCTTTAGTACTTTGCCTTAGGTATAACTTATTTCTAGCTTCAACAATAGATGTCACTTTATAGTAACTTTTAGTCTGTTGTTAAAGCAGTGCTTACACTGCTCTTAACTCAAATAAGCAGTTCAACTGCATACGTTAAATTTAAAAGCATTAATAATGGGTTTTATCGAGAATTCCAAACGAACTTGCATTTATACTATTACAACCATTGTTGCTACTACTATATTTACTTCCACTACTATTACTTTTAATTATTATTATTAGTACAATTGCTACTACTTTTACTACTACTGCTACTGATACTACTACAATTATTGCAAATTCTACTACTATTTCTAATTAAAGTAACCCATACAAATTTCCCTTTATTTTACACCCCTGCAGAAGCGCTTGCCGATCTAAATCGCGCTCTGGAATTAGCAACTGAAAAACAGGCACGTACCAAATGCCACGCCCACTGTCAACGCGGTGTCTTGTACAGGAAACTAGAAAATTTGGATGCAGCACGCGCGGACTTCGAAGCCGCCGCACAGCTGGGCAGTAAATTTGCACGTGAACAGGTGAGAGAAACACTCAAGCAGCCATATAATACGATTGTTTCCTATTTATCTGTGTATATATTTACAGCTAGTGGAAATAAATCCCTTTGCGGCGCTATGCAATCAAATGCTGCGCCAAGCATTCGATCAGCTCAAGTGAAAGAGACTTGAGCTGTGATTTAAGCCAAGAGGAAAAGGGCCGAAAGCCTCGTTAAAATAAATAAACATTAATTAAGTTTCGAGACGCGTCGTTTAATGTGATAAGCAACAGCAAGAGGCAAAGGCAACCGCTGCCTTTGCGTCATGTGGCAAGCTGCAAAATAGCTCTAGCGGCGCATACGCATAAAAAGTGGCACGTGGTGGCAGTCGTGAGCACTCGGGGCCCACAAGTTGGCAGCAAAAACGAAAACAGTTATTAAATGCAGCAGGCCGTCAGATTGCAGCAGGCTGTGGTGGCACAAGCTGTGCCACTAACTGTGGCAGTAACTGTTTGCTCGCTTCCACTGTGAACGCACAGAGTTCACCCTCAGCCATGCGACCGCAAGCTAAATTAAAATAAACGAAAGTTGTTTCGCGCAGGATAACGAGCAGAGAGAGAGAGAGAGAGCGAGAGCGAGAGAGAGGGAGAGAGAAGGAGAGCAACGTATATCCACTCGGATTGAGTTTTGGGGCTTTCAGGATTTGCGGTTTGCTTTAGCACGCGCAATTGGCCAACAGGTAAACAGGCAACAGGCAACAGGCAAACGTTGCACAGATCCTGTAAGCGCGCCAAGCTTAACAGTTAAATGTTGGCGATTTCGGCCCCCAGCTGTTGTAAGCGGCCTTTGCCTTTAGCCAGCTTTTTGTTGTTGTTGCTATGCTCGTTCGCTAAGTGAAAAGAGAGCATATTGATTTCAGAGCTGACTTCGAACTGCTAAATATGATCAGCTTATGGAGAGTTATTGTTAACGTAATTGATATACTTTAAGGCGCCATTGAAACTAGAGAATTTAAAAGCTGAAATTCATACATTCTAAGCTCTAGTATGAATTTCAGCTTTTAAATTCTCTTTGAGTATGCATAGCTAAGAGTGGGTGTATTTTGGATAAATGAATTTTCCATGAATATAAAGTCTGAGTAAAGCTACTTTAGTCAATGGGTCATCTCTCGAAATTCTTTAGAAAATAAGACTGCTCTATGAATTTATATGAAATATTTTTTATAATAATCATTTAAATTTGCATAACAAATTGGAGATTCATAAAAAAATATATTAAAATATCAGAATGGAAAGTACCAATGCAGAGGAATGAGATACTTAGGCCCATCCATGGCAACCAATGTAAGGTACCAAAACAAAACAATTAACATCAATAGAAAGACTTGAATTGTGGAACGTTTATGTATGCTTCTCTAGCCCAAGCCCAGATAAACATAAGCAGCTACGCCCCTGGGGGGCATGGCAAGTAGTAAGAAATGCAATATCTTTTACAGTTTTCGATCTAAGCACAATTATGCAGCTGGCCAACTGTTGAGCTTGACTATCGCTGCACACACTGCAAACAGTTAATAGCAAAAACACAAAAACTATTTCCAAACTGACAAAATGTAGCTGTGAACGAGCATCAGACAGTCAATAACAGCCACTGGCAACGTTTTTACTTGTTTTTTTTTTTGTTAGCGATTGCGGTCAAAAGACGCGCGCGTCTTGCTGCTGCTGCTGCTGCTGAAGCAGGTGCAGCTCTCACACACACACACACAAGAGTTGAGCATAAGGTGAAAAGGATATAGCCATGAATGCAAGTCAAGTGGGTCTGCAGTCGCCGTTGCATAGTAGTAGATGCGCGCGAGCAAGTGTCCTGCTAGGCCACTCATACGAGGGTTGCACCAATTTTTGATTGATCTCTTGCAGTTGGAGCTGCACACACACATGCACACATATGCATATGTGTGCGAGCGCATGCGCATGCAGTTTAATTTTTTGTTAAAGGAAGTTGTAGGTAGCTAAGTTGCTGCGTATCCTGCGTCAGTTGTGCTGAAGCCGCAACAAAAATCGAGTGCCATATGTTGCACAGTCTCAGTCTCAGTCTCAGTCGCAGTCACAGTCTCAGCCTCAGCCTCAGAGCCAACTGCAACTGGCAAATGGTCAAATCATTAGGCTCCCCAAACAGATCATCAGCAGCGTCGTTGGCTCCCCATGCTTAGCGGAACTAAATGCCAATCTTTGACCAGGCCGGAACTGTAATTTGATCGACCGAGCAGAGCCAGCCAGATAGACATTAGATAGCATCTCATAATGTTATTTTTCTTCCTGCCCAAAACGTTGGTAGACGTCTTTCATTCTAGAGATTCCGCCACTGGGTTATTCACCCTCAGCTCAGCTTGACGCGGCTCAACAGTTGCATTTGCGAGTCCTTTCTTTCAGCTACCTCAGCTTGCCTCTTCTACTTTTGTTGCTGTTGCCGGCTTTGTATACCTGGCTGAGGGCGCGTGCCTGCTGTCGTCGTTCAGAGAGGGCCCTGACTTCTAGTCAACACATGACGCTGCTGCTGCTGCTGCTCCTGCTGCTGTCTTTTGTTTAAACTCTGCTCGACCAGTTTTTCTCTACTCCTTATAAATATATATATATGTCCACATATATATATGTATATTTAGTTTTTTGCTCTTTTGATATCGTTTGCAGCAACTGTAATTCGTGCTTATGCAAATATTTTGATCAGACTGCGGACAGTTCGAGGCATCAATGAAATAACGCTTTAATTGACGAGAAGGCCAAAAGCCATCGATGAGATGTGGTAGCTCAGCAGCCAGCCCAAGCCAGGATATTGCTTCATATCTCAGTATTCATTATGCCATATGGACGACCGCCTCGCTTACATTTGTATTGATTAATTTAAAGTATGCCGTATGGTTGGCCACTCTATCAACTGTCTTGTCAAAATTTGAGCTTCTCTTGAGCGCATTTTTATTGAATTTCAATATATATTTTTTCACTTTTTAATTTATTATTATTTCAAAATATGTATAGCATTAAATTTATATTTTTTGATGCTAGACAAAAAAATTTGTTGTTTAGAAAGGATTGCATTATTATATGCTTCAGCTTAATTAAATCATTTTTGAGTTTGAGAAGCTTGAGCTAAATCTGTTTTATTTTATTTACACATTTTTATATACTTTTTACAATTTTACAACTTTGAAATTTGTATCATATTTGATATGGTTTGCAAGCTGCTGTGAGGAAGAGTTGAAAATCGAGAGAGCAGAAAAAAATAAAAAATGTAATTAAATTTCAAATTAAATTACTTGATATATAGCTCTATATATTGAGATATTAATTACTAACTATATTAAATGTTATCCAAACTAAAGATAGAATAAGAATTTTAACTTTAATATATTTTTTATATTTTATATTCATTTTATATTATTTTTCTTTTATTTATATATTATCATTTTCTTTTCATTTTAACTGAAATTTAATTTAAAAATATTCCCTTTGCTCTATTATATCTCTACTTAATTCTTTTTCCATAAACTTAAAATAAAAATTACTTTAACTTATAATAATAATATAACTATAATAATTTATGTTTTCCCTCTCTATTTGTGCTTCATATAAATATTTTCCATTCTGAAGTTCCCATCAAAGTTTTACTAATTTCCATATGTCTTTATCTGTTTACCTCTAGCAATTCAAAGCTCTTCTTGCACTAGCCAACAGCTTGGTAGCTGAGGAGCAACGTCTAGCAAGGTAGACAGTTCTAATTGGCATAGATGCAACCAGAGTTGTCTCATAAATCAAGCCGACTGCCTAGTTCTGGCTGCTGGCGGCGTTTGGGCAACACGCGTTGACATTTATGAATTGCTTGGCCATTTACACGACACAACTGAGACAGACCCGCCCGCACGTGGTAAGAGTCAGGTTCTGTTACTCCTGCTGCTTGGCAATTTACACTCGGGCAACAAAGAAAGCGTGGAGCGGATGCCTCTGGCGCCACGACCCATGAATGGGCCGCTAAATCAAGCAATTATGAGAGCCTTTGTCGCAACAGCCAAAACATATGCAAATTACGAGGCAGTTGCAATTGTTATGAAGATGCCAGCAGTTCTCCCGCTCCCACTCTGAGAGCCAACAAGATGTTAGTCTAGCAGAGGCAGCTGCGGGGGGAGACACGAGCAGTGAAATCTGTTCAGTTCAATGAATTGATTTTGTATGGGCATCGCTGACACTGACTTACGCGATTGGCAATGCAACGAGCGCCTAGTTTATCGCCCGCCCAGCCAGAGATTGAGACAGGGCAGAGCACTGACTGCTGCTGCTGCTGCTGCTCGCAGTAGTGGGACTTCGACTTGGACTTGAACTTGCTCTGTGTTTGTTGTGTGCCTGGGCATATGCAAAGCGACCGCCAAGTCAAGAAGCTCTGATCGGGTCTCGTTTTGGTGCCGCAAAGCCGCCGACGCCGCAGTCGACGCTGCGTAGAGCCGCACGCCACATTTCAATGATAAATGTTCAGAGAGCTTGCCCCGACTCCAGAGCTCGCTGCTACCTGGGCCCGAGCTAGCCGGCCAGCTATCCAGCTAGTTGGCACTGCGATTGCTCTTGGGCTGCGCTATATTGGGTAAATTGTTTTATTGCAGTTCAATTGTTGGGCCTGGACTCAGGGTACTTGGGATTGTCAAACGGCGGCGGCGCTCCTTCGAGCTTACAGCTCCAAGCTACCCCCCAAACAGTAGTTCAAAAGACATTTTATGCCAGCCCAGAGGGTATATTGAAATAGGCGGAAGGTTTGCAGCGTAACGAGGTGTAGGAGCGAGCAGAGAGCGTGGGAGAGAGAGGGAGGGAGGGGGGGGGAGGAGTCAGAGAAGCAGATATCAGAGAATATATATAGAAGACATATTAAGGTAATAGAGAGACATAGATAGAACTAGATATAGACAGTTAAGGAGAGTGAGACAGAGTGAGACTGAGAGAGAGAGAGTGAGTTAGGGATAAAGACTAGAAAACATTATTCTGCTTTTTGAGTAGAGACAGAGAAAGAGAGAGAGAGAGCACGTGAGAAGGGAAGGTCAAAGTGGGAGAAAGATAGAGAGGAACATAAAGTTTTAGAGTGAGAATGAGTGTTAAGGTGAGGAGGGAAAGGAGAGAGAGCAAGAAAGGAGAAAACTAAAGCCATATCTAGCAAAGATCTTTCTGTATATTCGACACAATACTCTGTAGA